AAACACAATCAATGTAATCCTCAACACAATAAAACAGAGGGGGGAAAACACATCATATTGATTTATGCAGAAGAAACATTTAACAAAAGCCAATACTCATTCCTGATGAAAAACACTCAACACATTGGAATAGTACAGAATTTTCTCAACATAATTCAGAGCAAATATACAAAACCAATCAGCCAACATTAGTCTCAATAGAAAGAAACCAAAAGCGTTCCCTTTTTGAGCAGGAGACACATAAATATGCTCTTTATCCCTACTGGTATTCAATATTATGCGGATGTCTTAGCCAGAGCTATCAAACAAGAAAAGGAAATTAAAGACCAAATCAGCAAAGAAGTAGAATTCTCTGTTTCCAGATGAGAAAATCCTATACATAGAAAATCTTAAAGACTCACCAAAAAAAAAAAAAAAAAGGTTGGAACTAATTAAAAGATTCAGCAAAGTGGTTAGGTATAATATTAACATACAAAAATAATTTACAATAGTTACCCAAAAGATTAAATACTTAGGAATAAACATAACCAGAGAAACAAAGATTCACACAAAGAAAACTACAAAACACAAGAAACCAAAGAGACCTACAGAAGTGAAAGAATAGATCGTGCTCATGGATAGGAAGGCTTAGCATTGTGAAACTATCAATACTACCCAAAGCGATACACAAATAAATCACAATCCTGATTCAGATCCCATCATCATTGTTTAAATTGATGGAAAAGTTAACCACCAATTTTATATGGTAATGAAAGAGACCCTGGATAAGCAAAGCACTACAAAAGAAGAACAAAATAGGAGGTCTCTCACTTCTCTACCTCAAAACTACTATACAACCACAGTAATGAAAGCACTCTAGTACTAATACGATTTTAGACACCTAGACCAATGGAATGGACTTGAGAACCCAGAAGTAAATCCATCCACCCGTGGTCAGTTAATCTTTGACCAAGGGTCAAACCACATTACATGGAGAAGAGATAGACTCTTTTAACATTAGTGCTGACAAAACTGGATATTCATTTTTAGGAAACAGAACAGGAACCATATCTCTTACTATCTAAAAGAACTAATTCAGGATGAATCAAAGACCTAATGAAAAACCGAAAACTATAAAGATCATCCATGAAAAAATAGAGACAAATTTAGGCTCCCTAATAAATAGCATAAATAAACTAACAAACATACCTAAAGCACACAAATAGCAAAAGGCAAACGAAATGACTGGGGCCTCCTGAAAATTAGACACTTAGATGCATCAACAGATTTCATCAAAGAGTAAAAAGAGAGCCTGAAAACGGGAAATTTTTTTAGTAAGGACATGTCTGACAAGGGACTAATATCTAAAATGGGTAGAAACATTTCAACAAGAAAAAGACAAATTATCCGATTAAGAATGGGCAGAGGACATGAACAGCCACGAACATATAAAGAAATACTCATGATCACTAGCCATTTTAGAGATGCAAATCAAAACAACACTGAGATATTACCTTATCCCAGCATTAATAGCAAAGTAAAAAAATGAATAATGATGACATTATAAAGCACTTCATAACTTGAATGAACTTGTTGAGTGAAATTAGTTCATCACAAAAGAACAAATATTATATGAGAACACTATTGTAGGAAGTCAGGTAAAGGTTTTCATACTAAAAGAAACTTTCTTTAATGGTTTCCAAGGGAAGGAGAGAAAGTCACTTGGTAGAGGGGTAGATAAGTGCTGAACTTAGGTGAAGGTAAAGGCAATAAACAATAAGAAGGAGTTTGGCAAAAAATGATGGAGGCAGGAGAAGGTACTGAGAGGTTTGTAAGAGTTAAAGGCAACAGAGGTAAATACTGTTATATACAAATCTTGCAACAGTAGTGATCTACAAGTAGATGCATGGATAGACATGCAGGCTGAACAGGTTTTGGAGGGAGAGTGGGAGTACACCCTAAAATAGGTGTGAGTTTGTTAAGAGGATATTTGCATATGTGTATACCTTTGTTGCAAATATATCCATGATTGTGATGGAACTTTCAGGGGTGGTATGACCGCTTCGTAGACATACCAAGTGCCTTAAGGGAATGAATGACTTCTTGGGCCTCTGAGGCCAGGACAGTAGTCTTAAGAAGCAATGAGGTTAATTGGCATAATATATGTTACAAAGACTGTGCTCTACATTGTACCTTAATGAGCACAGTTGGGGGGTCTTAAATACCTGTGAGCAGACGTCTAAGGTATAACTATTAATATCTCCCTGTTCAGAGAAAGAAAAGTGATAAAAATTGAAAGACACCTGGACATAATTTGTTCAACAGACTAATAAGGAAACATCATATCCCTGAAATGGTATCAACTGCTCAGAAAGTAATCACATGAACAAATCCTGAAAAGGTGGGGGGGAAATGTGGAACAAAATTCAAAATCATGAGAGCCCGGGATTGCTGGTCAGAGAGAAGCTAACGAAACCTCCAGGACATCTTTAGACGTCTTTTTGGTCTGGAACTAAGTTCACCTCTGTGAATCAATTTTCAGCCAAACAATAGGACTAAAAGAGGAACAATAATACCAGTGAGGTATTCACACCTTAGAGTAAGCAACCATTTGAGATCAAAGGGTCAATATTTACCCAAGAACAACATTGAGAAGGGTTAGGGGAGGAGGATTGGGAGCAGGAAAAACTGAGTGGTAGAAAGATAGTGATGCTATATTGAAAGGATTACAGTGGATGAGATGAAACAAGATGTGTATGAACTGTTGAATCTAAAACTGAGTATCTGCTCTCTAAATATTCACGCAATTCATAACAAGAAGTCTTTCCATAATAATAATGAAATTAAAGGCCTTAGAGATCTCTCGAGCCAGTATGAATTTGTAGGGTCAGGATCTCAAAGAGAGAAACCAAAAAGGTGAGTTTGAAGTGAAACTGGATGAGACGCTAAGCAGAGTTTCTGACATGCTCAGGGGGCTAGAAAGAGAAAATGGAGGTTCAGAGCCCACCAAAGAAGAGAAACCCAAACCAAGCCAAACTTACTGCAGTCAACTCAAAGAGACCCTATGACACAGAGTAACACTGCCCCTACAGATTTCCAAGACTTTAAATCTTTACAAAAGTAGACAGCCTCATCTTTCTCCTGAGGACTGACTGGTGTGTTTGACGCACTGACCTTGCAGTTAGCCTTTCAGTAGGAAGATCCTGGTAAATAATCAAAACTCTGGGTGGACGATCTGAATTGCTATATCCTAAGCGTAAAGGTGAAGCAGAGCTAGGTAAGCCATCAGAAAGATTTAGGGATAGTTTCAATCCTTTTTGGAAAAAAGTGATCTGTCCCTAGCATAAGTGTCTATCAAAAGCATAAGTAAATCTTCCTGGATGGAACATTATATCATTCAGAGAACATCAAATTATCTATACTTTTCAGATGCAATGTCTTACTATATATGGGGGTACCCCCCCCCAAGAAAACAAACAAATAAAAAAATGGAAAATAGCTCCACCTGGTGAAACTTTCATAGTACACATTTTTCCCCACTAGGTGAGCAACTTGCTGAGTTAGTGCACCCAGTGGCATCAGCTAAGAAGGTTCTCTCTGGTCACAGTGAATTTTTTAATAAAAGCAGTTTCACTCAAACCTCATTTTTTAGTGATGGCTGATTTAAGAACACAGTATGTGGCTGTGAAATTTTGTTTCCTGCTTGGGAAAAATGCCACAGAAACTGTTGTGATGGTGAACACAGCTTACAAGGACAGCGCTATGGGAAACACTCAAGTGTACACGTGGTTTTCTTGTTTCAAAAAAGGCAAAATGTCATTTGATAACAAACCTCATTCTGGACGTCTGTCAACTTCCCAAACAGACAAAAATGCAATTGGAATTCCACTGGTCAGACTGTTAATCATGCTTCTATTTAGAGGTTCTGAAAAGATAGCATAACAGTGTCCGACAAAAAAAACACCTTGCTCCATGCACCTGAATTCACCTGACCTTGATCCTTGAGACTTCTCTTTGTTCCCATATGAAGAGGGACAGCGATTTGACGATTTAGAAGAGGCGAAGAAAGACACTAGGGAGGTGCTGTCAGCTATCCAAACAGATGGGCTTGAAAAATGTTTCCAAGAATGGAGTCACAGATTTGACAAATGTATTAAATGTAATGGAGAGTACTTTGAAGTTGATAAGGTTGTTTTGTAAAAAATTTAAATATTTTTTAAAAAAGAATTCTGGTTTATTTTGGATATGCCGTGTGTGTGTGTGTGTGTGTGTGAGAGAGAGAGAGAGAGAGAGAGAGAGAATATACAAAAAGGCAGAACCAGCTGAAAACTATCAGAAACAGATCCACAAAGGATATAGAATTGGCATTATCTGACACATATTTAAAAGTAATGTGATTATGTACAAAAATAGGAGACAAAATGGAGAATTTCAGCAAAGAAGTACAATGTGAAAGACTCAAATAGAACCTCTAGAAATTATAAAAAATAAATTAAATTGAGAAGTTAAGAGCAGATAAGACACAATGAAACGATTCAAAAGTTAGAAGACAGATCAAAGAAAATGCCCAGCTTGGGGAAAGGGGTGGAAAATGTAGAATAAAGAAAAAGAGATATATGAAATTGAGTGAAAAGGTATACTTAGAATTCCAGACAGAGAAGAAAATAAGTAAGATTCAGAGAAAGACGAAATCAATATGGAACTAAAAAATGGTTGAGAAATGTCCTGGACTGATGAAAGCTGAGTTAAATGCTACAAAACGGATCAATACAATGAAAGCTTAATCTAGGCATATCATTGAAAAGCCAATGAAACTAAAGGTAAAGAGAGAAAAAAAATCATGGGGAAAAAAAGATAGATTGTCTTCAAAGGGGGAACAGTAAGAGAGCTGGCATCTTAACAGAAATTATAGTAGACAGAAAACAACAGAAAGACATCTTCAAAGTATTGAAAGAAAACAATGATATGTGGGGAGAGTCTCACACATTTCCCCCTTTTTCTTTGTTGTCTTTGCCCCCAAGGTCAGTCCTAATGACAGAATCGCACTTCCGTGGCAGTGACATTAATGCCTTGAGAGAAAACCTTGCATCTGAATCGATGAACCAGGAGAAGGGGTCCCCTCGTGTGCAAAGAAAGTGAGTAGAATTTCTGATATTTTTAAAATGTTCTTCTATTTTGTCACTTCACCCTAAGGATTGGCACAGTCATGGCAAACTGTGTAAGAGAGCCAATGACGATAACTCTGAAGACCAGAAAGCAAGGATTTCTGGGAAATATGGGGAAAATCAGGTAGAGGAGAGAAAAGGACTGGCCTAAGCCCTGAGCTCATATTCAAACTGTGAATATACAAGGGGGCTTCAAAAACTTTGTGGGAAAATGTCATCATCATTTTATCCTATTTTCCTGGGTTTTTGAGGTCCTGTCATATACAGCTTTAAAGCAGCTACCATAACCAAGCTTGCTATACTCACAGAGCATCCCCTTTCAGAAAGTGCAACAGACTGGAGGACTGAACTACCAGTCCACATGCCAAACGAATCCTCACTCAGTATATAGGAGGAGCATACCTGAACAGTATTGTAAAGGGCCTTCAACATTTAACCGACATTGAAGTTGCCACCCACAGAGGCAAGACAGGACATATAGTCTGAATATAACTAGTTGAGTGCTAAAATGACATGCACACACAAGTTAACATCCCTAGATTGAGTCTGACAATATACCAAAACGTGATATTTTATAAAATGGGTATAGTCCAAACTTATTTTATATACCAAGAATTAGAAAAATCTATCAATAGGAAAAGACAGGTGCCAACCCTGAGATGTCATATGTTGGAATGATAAAATAAAGATTTTAACTATTATCACCATGCTCTGTGAAATGAATAAAAAGACACACTTAAGCAAGAAACAAAATATAAAAAAACCCGAAAGTTTCAGGATGAGAAATACAGTTTATTGGATAATTTAAATAGCAGATTATATAGGAGAGACTCAGTGAATGTGAAGACAGAGCAACAAAAATAACCCAATCTGAAGGACAGAGAAGGGGAAAATGAACAAAGTTTCAGTGCTCTCTAGAACAATGTACTACATAAAGGCAAAGTAATTCCCATCTTTACTGTGTGGTAAGGATCAGCATAAATCCAATCCAAAACATGTGGTGATGGATCCAGTCCTCATCTTCCCACTTCTTCATTCTCACTTGTGCAGGATACTCTCTCCAATTTTAGCCAACTCATAGCTCACAAATTAAAATAATACAGTTCTTCCGACTCCCAAATAAGGTAATACCAACCATATACATGGGGAATCCACATGACACCAACTTTTTGCCCTGCCTGCTGGTCATAGTTTCACACCACCCCTTGTGGTTGACAGTCACAAGCGAGGAGTTCACAAAACATCCTTACTTCCTCACCTGCTGGCTCCCACTGCACTTTTGAGTTCAATATTTCACTGGAACAACTCACAGAATGTCATGGGGAGTATACCAGACTTACTATTACAAATTTAAGACAACAGCAGCAAGATAAATGAAGAGACACATAGGGTGAGATTGGCAGGAGTCCCAGTGTGAAGCTTCCATGTCCCAAGAGTACTCTACCCTCCTGAGATCAAATGTTCTCAGCCACCAGGAATTCCTCTGAACCTCTGTGCTCAGCATCTTTATTCACTTGACCATTAGTCATTAGATGATAGCATAGCCTTTGAGAGTAGTTAACATTAGGTCCCAGGTGGTCTCTCTTGGTCCTCACTCAAGTATCGTCTGGCTCAAGTGAACTGAAAATAAATGTCAAATTGCTTTCTGCTCCTCACAGACAATAACAGAAGGTCAAACATTGGTGCCTTTAGAGTTTGTGAGGAAAGGAGAAATAAACTGGTGCCAAAAAGCACATTTCAAGAAATGCTGGCCAAATGTTTCTAAAATTTTGTTGAAAAACATACATGTACAGGTTCAAGAAGCTCACAAACTTCAGGTAGAACAAAATAAAACCATAATCCAGGCATATCAAAATCAAGCTGCTGGGGGGGAAAAAGTCTTAAAATAACAAGAACAAACAGCAAAACAACAACACAAACCCACCGCACCTTGCATACCATTTCATATAAAGGAACAATGATGCAAATGAGTGGCACAATATCTTTATATTGCTGAAAATAGATAAAAAACAAAAACTGTCAATGATGTCCCCTTACTGACCCACAGTGCTATGGGGGCAGCACCAGAGCCACAGTGCAGTCTGCCCCTCCCCGCCCCCACCAGGGAGTAACACGAGAGCAGCACCACAGAGCAGCAAGGGAGCAAAGCAACAAAGGCCCCAAAGAATTCTGAAACTGGACTTCAGACTCAGAGGTCAGCGCTCGGCACCGCATCAGACCCGATCAGAAAACATTCATTAGGGTCAGCAGACAGACCTGGAACTATTCCTAGGCTATTTTCTCTCTCTCTATTTTTCTTTCACGTCTATCTATATAAGATAGGCAGGATAAACAATCCCAAGGTGAAAACAATGGGACCAACAGTTCCAGGAGGGACAGGGGAGAGAAGGATGTGGGAGAAAAGTAGGGGGGAGCCAACCAACCCAGGGACAAGGGAACAACAAGATATCTAAAGTCGATGGCAAGGAGGGCATAGAATGCCTGGTGGTGTTCATTCAAGTGCAATGTAGATGAGAGGAAGTACAGAGAGCCGAATGAAGGTTGAACATGATAGTGGGACCGGAAGAAAATAAAAGGAAATAGAGGAAACAACTAGGGGGCAAAAGATATTTATAAAGGTATAAACATAGTCATTTACATATGTAAATATATTAATATATAACAATAGGGATATAGGTCTATTTACATGTATTTATAGGTTAAGTATTAAGGTAGCAGACGGACATTAGGCCTCTACTTAAGTAGTCCTCCCCCAACACAAGAACACTTTGTTCTAATAATCTGGTATTCTGTGATGCTCACCTTTCCAATACGATCGTTGAAGACAAAATGGGTGCATAAGTAAATGTAGTAAAGAAAGCTGATGGTGTCTCGCTATTGGAAGATTTAGTGTCTGGGGTCTTAAAGGAGTGAAGGTAAACAAGCAGCCATCTTGCAGGGAAGCAACAAAGCCCACATGGAAGAATCACACCAACCCGTGTGATCACGAGGTGTTGATAGGATCAGGTGTAGGGCATCAGAAGACCCAAAAGAAACAACCATTTTGATGCAAACAAGGGATGTCAGAATGGAGATCCGTAGCCCATCTGTAGACAATTGGACCTCCCCTTACAGAAGGGTCCCAAGGAAGGGATGAGTCAGCCAGGGTGCAGTATAGCACAGTTGAAATATACAACATTCCTCTAGTTCTTTAATACTTCCTCCTCCCCACAATCATGGCCCCAGTTCTATCTTGCAAATCTGGCTTGACCAGAGCATGTACTCTGGTACAGATAAGAGCTCTCAACACACAGAATTCAGGACAGACAAACCCCTCGGGACCAATAATGGAAATAGCTACACCATGAGGGTAGGGGGAAAGTAGGGGGAGAAGGAAGAGAAAGAGGGAACCAACCGCAGTGATCGATGTACAAACTCCCCCCGCACCCCCCAGGGGGATGAACAACAGAAACATGGGTGAAGGGAGACAGTGGATGGTTTAAAATAGGAAAATAAAAATAATTTCTAAATTATCAAGAGTTCATGAGGGTGGTAGGGTTGGGGAGGGAGGGGATAAAACAGGAGCTGATACCAAAGGCTCAAGTAGAAAGAAAATGTTTTGGAAATGTCGATGGCAACAAATGTACAAATGTGCTTGATACAATTGATGTATGGATTGTTATAAGAGCTGTAAGAGCTCCAAATAAAATGATTTAACAAAAACAAAACAAAAACTCCTGTCAAAACACAATTCTATATTCAATGAAAATACCCTTAAAGAATGAAGGTAAAATGGGGGAAGGCTCATTAAAAATCTGTAATATGTAAAGATTCAACCTTTGGGGCTGAAAGTAAAGGGGACTTGAAGCTCAAAGACTACAATCTTCATTCTAGATTACACCTCCAGGTAAATAAAAACACTCACAATGAAATCAATAAACAACATCACAATAGACAGTAAAGACTGATGTTGCCAAGGATACCATTTAACTCGAATCCACATTCAAGCAGCAATGCAATGGAAACAGCAGCCAAAAAATCCAATGGCGTATTGAATTAGGTGAATCTGCTCCACATCTGTTTAAGTAAGCAGCATACTGTTTCCCATAGTGATTGTGTAATTCTGCTATTCCGCCAGCCATGTGTGAGCATGCTAATCTCTCCACATCCTCCCCAGCACTTATTACTTCTTGGTTTTGTTATTTTGCTAACAGTTTCACTATAAGATGGTATCACACTGTTTTAATTTGTATTTCTGTATTTCTCTTATAGCTAATTATCTCAAGCATTTCTTCACATGATTGTTGACCTAGATGGCATCCTCAGTAAATCGTCTATTCATCTGTGTCCATTTTTGGTTGGGTTCTTTGTTTTTCTCTTAATATATTGTAGTTTTCTACAGATTTTAAAAATTAGTCTTTTATCTGATATGCAACTGTCAAATATTTTTCCTCATCTGTGTTTTTTTGATTTTTGTTTTTTTTAACTCTTTTGGTGTACATAAATGTCAGATTTTTAGAAGGTCCCAATCATCTATATTGTCTTTGTGGTGTGGACATTAGCATTATGTTTGGTAGTGTATTTATGCCTTGTATTAGGGCCCTTAAGCTTGTCCTTACTATTCATTGATGATTGTTGTGACCCTAGGATTTATATTTAGGTTTTTAATCCATCTTGAGTCCGTTTCTGTATATGGTGTGGATTATGGGTCCTGTTTCATTCTTTTGCAGATGGAGATCCAATTTTTCCAACACTATTTATTGAAAAGGCCCTCCCTTCCCTACTTAATGTGTTTTAGACTTTTATCAAAACAAGGTGTCTGTTGGTGCTTGGTTGTATTTCTGGGTTCTGGGTTCTAATCCATTGTTTTACATATCGATCATTGTATACATACCAAGCTGTTTTGGTCTTATATTTTCAAGTTTTCTCCTCTTTTTTTTATTGACATATAATTCACACATCATACAATTGAATAGTACAATAATATTAAG